TCATATTTGTCTAGATTCCCAATGAAAATATTTTAAGCTATTTGCCTCAATAAATTCCTTTAATACTGAGTTCCACATGTGAATAGCTTAGTAGAAAAATTGTTTCCTTATTTCCGTATTGAATTTAGTATTGACTGGCTTGTTTTCTAGCGCTAGTTTTGGATTCTCTCAAAAGTGGGAACAATCTTTTCATGTTCTTCCTGTCCAACTCATTCATATTTTCCTCAAGAAAAAAATGTCTCCAACTGTTTAACTTTTCCTGATTAACTGCAATCCCAACAATCTTCTATTTGTCTTCAGCATACTTGCATGCTAACTTTCTGCAATTCATGCACTAAGATATCCAGATCCTCCCTCCTGCATCTCCGAGCTCTGCAATCTCTCCCCGTTTAGATAATTTATTGCTTTCTTCATTCTTCCTACCAAAATGGGCAATTCCAAATTCTTCCACATAGACTTTATTTGCCATTACCATTATCTACTTGCTTACCCTATCTAAGTCCCTTTGTAGCTTCCATATGCACTCTTCACAACTTGCCTTCCTACCTGTTTTAGTGTCATTAAACTTAGCAACCATACCTTTGTTCTCTTCATCCAAATCAATTTTATATCTGCAAAAAGTCAAGTTTCCAGCAGTAATCCCTGTGGCACACCACATGTTACGTCTTGCCAACCAGAAAATGACTGATTTATGATTGTCCAGCTAATAGGAAACAACAGTCTTGTCTCTATGCCAATATGTTCCCTCCTACGCGGTGAGATTTTATTTTCTGCAATAATTCATGGTGTGGCACCTCATCAAATGTCTCCTGGAATTCAAGTCTGGTACATCCACCGGTTTTATCCAAATCACCAAATATGTGATATCCTCTAAAAATTCCTATCAGTGCTACAGTCACTAGTTGATCTCAAATCCACCACTAGCAAAGTAATACAGAAATTGTTCCCTCAAGCAATATTAACAAATGATTAAAACAAATCAGTTATGAAAATGTTTATAGATGTTGTAATTACCAAAGTAATGCTGGAGTAAAGAAGGAGGCCATAGGCAGTCAGGGTGATAATTTTCTTTATTGGAATTCATACTCAAAACAAATAGTGTGAGTCCATTTGTAAAAACTTGGTAAGTTTAAAATTGCACAAAACATTAATTTCACTGTTGGACTGTAATGGCTATCTTGATGCAGTATATTCAGAATGCTTCTGAATGATTGTCGGGTAAAGAGTTTCTACACATGAGTTGCTCATGTCTTTTAGAATACAAGTCAAAGGACACATCTGAGGCAAGACAATTATTGTATTCTGTCGTATGAACAAAATAGTAATTGTTCTTGGTAATTATGCTTTTGTAAAAGAATGTATCTTCCCATTTAATGTAATTATCTGTTTTTTTACGTTCAAAAATTTGATTATTCCCTCTCATTTTCACTGTACAAGGGGATTACCTTGGTGGTGAAGCATATTGGGCTGGAGGACTGCATTTTTACACACCTCTGCCTTTCCGTCCAGGCCAAGGAGGATTTGGAGACCTGTTCAGAACACACTTCTTTTTGAATGCTGGCAACCTTTGTAACCTCAACTATGGTAAGGCAAATATATTTGTTGAATAGGTAGCTGCTTTTTATATGTTCTTTTTTAAAAGAGATTTATACTGCGCTGATAAGTTAAATTGCAATACAATTGGTGTGTCCCATTCCTTATATATAAGGAACATAAACTACGAGCTATAAGCAGTAGTTTAAAAAATTTATGATACTGGAATGTAGCCTGCTGTCCTTGCTAGTTTAAAAATAAAATACACGTCAGAATTACAGCGGTGTATTTACATATCTGCTACCAGAGTTTAAATATCAATGCTGTATTTTGCTTGTGAACTTTTGCTCATAATCCAGGGTTTATTGCTTGCCCAATTCCACGACGAATAAAAAAATTCTGCTATGACTTCAGTGATTTACATGAGAATATTTCCAATAGGATGAACCTGCAATTAAATTACATTTTATTGCACTAAATTAATGGAAAACCGTGTTTGATGTGGTGGTGCTGTAGTAGCAAAGGAGCTTAATTGGAAACATCCTTTATCTCACGAAAATGTGAAAACCTTTGAACGTTTTGCAGGTGAAGGTCCCAATGCACACCTGCAGAAGCTGGCAGAATGTATCCGATGGTCCTATGGGGCAGGGATTGTCCTGAGACTGGGAAACATTGCCAGACTGGAACTCAACTATTGCATTCCCATGGGTGTACAGAGTGGTGATAGGTAAGTGCTGCTTTATTGCTTGTGTGATCAAACTTTTTTAAAACTTACTAATATTTAAATAAGCTGTTATTAGACTAATGTAACATGTATGTGTGTTGAGCTGTGCAATTTATTTGCTGATTTTAATGCTTGAAGGAAAAACAGACAAGAGTATTTATGTTCACAATGAGGAGAAATCTTGCATTTCTCCATGGATTGTATACAAGATTGACTAAACTGAAGCATAATAAAATAGTGAAGTTGATGTTACTAATTAAGGAATTTCATTGAACAAGATGTTAATAAAACTGTCTGATGCATGAGTTTGCTTTCGGTCTGCTGTATTGCTAATAGGTCTGTAGAGTCAGCAGCACCTGTGGAAAGACAAAGAGTTAACATTCCAAGACTGATATGACTCTTCTTCAGAACTCTGTAAAAAGTCATACTAGACTTGAAATGTTAAGTATGTTTTCCCCTCTCCACAGATATTACCAGACCTGCTGTGTTCCTCCAGCTCCACACTGTGTTATCTCTGACTCCAGCATCGGCAGTTCTTACTATCTCAGTTTCTCCGGTGTTCTGTTTGTTTCAGATTTCGGGAATCCAGAAAATTTTGCCTCTATAAGGACTGCAGAATGTTTGATATAGAAACTAAAAGATAAAACATGTGTTGGATATCTAAAATTAAAATTAAAAATATTTGTAATGTCAGATTTACCAGTCTGGAAGAGAGAAAATTAAATTGTTGGATAGGATTTTTAAAATTTATTTTTATACCAAGCCAAAGTTTGTTGTAATCTTTGTTTTTATCCTATGCAGGATATGTGATGGTGTCCAGTTTGGAGCAGGAATAAGGTTTCTATAATGCCTTTTTGAAAAGAAGCAACCTACCTGTATTTCATTATTGAAAACTGAACCAGTACCTTACCAAAAATTTAATAAAGTTGTCTGTAATTTGATATAGTTTGATATTTTTTTGTAATACTAAAAGCTGCACAAACAACTATTGGTATGAAATAAATATTGAAACAGGAATAAGCCATTCAACCCATTGATCTTGTCTGACGTTCAGTGAGATTATGGCTGATGTGTTTCTGCTTGGATTTGTCGTCCCGCTGAAACCCTATGGACTCTGCCACTAGGTCAGTGGTCACTGCCATCTTTGCACAGCTCTCCAGATTGGAGCCCTAACATGCAACAATTGACAACAAAACACACACACAAATATCTTAGTTCCTTTACAATACAAGTTTATTGTTGCATATAAAATAGTCAAGGCATGTAAGATATTAACTTTAATTAACCTTTTATTCCTGAAGAGTTGTCTGTTTGATTTTGCATGCAGTTGTAGCCACAGTACTGGAGGCAACATGTATTTCATGAAGGGAATGTAAAATTAGTTCTTGGTGGATGAATTAAGGATGATGAGATCAGCTGATTTATCTCTACTTTGCTACCTTGTCTCCATAACCCTGGATTCCCTTAATAATTAAAAATCTGTCTTTCTCAGCCTGCAATGTTCTTAACAATTAAGTCTCAATCACACTCTGCAGTAAAGAATTCCACAGATTCACAACCCTGTGAGAGAAGAGATTCCCATCTGTGTCTTAAATGGGAGACTCCTACTACAAGAATATGTATGCCGTCTGGTCTTGAACTGTCCCAAAAGGGGGAACAACCTGTCCACATCTCGCCTATCAAGCATCATAAGAATCTTGTATGTTTCAACGAAGTCTTCTCTCAACCTACTAAATTCCAATGAGTACAAACTAGTTAATCTAACCTCATAAGAAAATCCCTCTATGCCTAGGATCAATCTAATGTAGCTTCTCTGGAATGTCTCCTATGCCAGTATAACTTTCCTGAGGGAATGGGAACCAAAATTGCTCCTGTGATTCCAGGAGGGAGTGTGAAAGAGAGAGACAAACAGAGGACAAGAGTTGAGCCAGTAATTGCAGGTGAGTGGATCTCTGCAGGCATGGGAAGAGCTGCTGTGGCAACGAGGTTAAGTAGATGAGAGGGTGTGTGTGTGTGGGTGTGAGAGAGAATGTGTGATGGCGGAGGGAGATTCGGTCCCTAGCTACTTCCAGGAGCAGCCTTGGGAATGTGGCACGTCTGTTTTTGGGGTGGAGCAGGTGATCAGTCATGTTCCAATAGAGGGTCTGTTTCTGTGTTGTTTGACTCTGATTCTCGGGAACGTGGCCATGATTGTGCTCAGGGAGGAGCACTGTTTTAAACATACAAACATCCCTTAGCGGGGTGAAGAGAGCAGAGGGAAGTGGCCATCAGCCATGTCTGTAGGAGGTAGTGCTGCCTGTGGAATGTGACCTGGTGGGGGGGGGAAGGAAGCAGTCAGGAGGCATAGCCTTGGGCATTTGGCCAGGCTGAGTAAATGTGAGTGGTAAGGGGAGGTGGCAGTCAGCTGCATGCTCGTAGAAGGGCTGTTGTCTTAGGAATGTGACCATGTTTGGGGAGGGAATAGTTGGTTTGGTGGGGGGGGTGGTGCAGGGAGTGGGGAGCTGCTGCTCAGCCGTATCCCGCCAGAGAGAATAACAAGGTGTAGAGCTGGATGGACACAGCAGGCCAAGCAGCATCAGAGGAGCAGGAAGGCTGACGTTTCGGGCCTGCACCCTTCTTCAGAAAATCCCGCCGTAGGGGGCGCTGTCTTGGGAATGTGACTGTTGATGGGGAGGTGGCGGTCAGACATCCCTTCGGAGGGGGCGCTGTCTTGGGAATGTGACCATTTAAGGGGAAGGTGGCGGTGAGCCACATCCTGTGGCTGTGGCTGCGGGTCCTGGAGACGAACCGCAGTATTGGCTACGGGAGAAATGGCTACCACACCGATAAGGTCACAGAATGTGCAGCAAGCGGGCAGAATGAAGAAGGACGAATCGTTCTTGGGAAAGCTTGGAGGAACCTTGGTGAGGAAGAAAAAGGCTAAAGAAGGTGAGCAAAGGGACACGGTGAATACTGTCCAGGAATCAAACTGAGTGGGCAGTCAGTGATTCACTCCTCTCCGAAATTATTGCAAATAAATTAAAATAGTTTCAACAGCTTCAGTTCTTTGCATGACTTCATCGGGATTTTTTGATTACGCCTCTGTTATTTTACTTTTAAAAGCAAAATTAATTCATTCACCGCGTTTGATTCAGTTCAATTCAATTGAAAATATTTCTCCTTTTAGGTTGGTTCTTGGTTTGAATTTATTGAGCTACCCTTTTTTGCAGTTTATTCCCATACAGATCTAATCCTGAAGGTAACGTTATTTTAAACTGGATTTAACAAAACACTCGTTCTGTAAAAAAGAGTTTAACTATCAAATTAGGTTTAACAAAAGTTGATTTTTTTTTGTTTTAGAGATAGTAAGAACTGCAGATGCTGGAGTCAGAGATAACACAGTGTGGAGTTGGAGGAACACAGCAGGCCAGGCAGCACCAGAGGAGCAGGAAGGCTGACGTTTTGGGTTGAGACCTTTCTTTAGAAATGGGGGAGGGGAAGGGGGCTCTGAAATAAATAGGGAGGGGGGGGCGGTGCTAGCAGGTAGATAGTGGACCGGATAGGTGGGAGAGAAGACGGACAGGTTAAGGAGGCGGGGATGAAGCCTGTAAAGGTGAGTGTAGCTAGGAAGTGGGGTTGGGGGTTGGGGTTGGTCAGTGAGGAGGGAGGAACAGGTAGGTGGGAGAGAAGACGGACAGGTCAGTGAGGTGGGGATGGGGGGCCTGGTCTTGGGATGAGGTTGGGGGTGCGGAGATTTTGAAGCTAGTAAAGTCCACGTTGAGACCATTGGGTTGTAAGCTACCAAGGCAGAATATGAGGTGCTCTTCCTCCAGTTTCCGGGTGGTATCATTGTGACACTGGAGGAGGCCCAGGGTGGACATGCTGTCCAGGGAGTGGGAGGGGGAGTTGAAGTGGTTCGCGACTGGGAGGTGTTGTCGTTTGTCACGAACCGAGTGTATGTTCTCTACAAAGCGGTCTCCGAGCTCTGCTTGGTCTCACCGATGTAGAGGAGGCCACATGGGGAACAGCAGATACAATAAACCACATTAGCTGATGTGCAGGTGAACATCTGTTTGATGTGGAAGGTTTTTTTTTGGGGCCTGGGATGGAGGCGAGGGTGGGGGAGGTGTAGGGGCAGGTGTAGCACCTCCTGCGGTTGCAGGAAAGCTGCCAGGGGTGGTGGGGCTAGTGGGGAGCGTGGAGAGGACGAAGGAGTCGCGGATAGAGTGGTCCCTCCGGAAGGCAGATAAGGGTGGGGAGGGAAATATATCCTTCGTAATGGGGTCAGATTGCAGGTGGTGGAAGTGGCAGAGAATAATGCATTGAATCTGGAGGTTAATGGGGTGATACGTGAGGACAAGGGGAATTCTGACTTTTGTTCTTATTGCAGGGAGGGGGTGTGAGGGCTGAGGTGGGGGAAACGCCAGAGATGCGGTCGAGGGCGTTTTCAACCACTGAGGCGGGGTGGTGGGGGGAGTTGCGGTCCTTGAAATACGAGGACATCTGGGATGTTCGGGAGTGGAACGCCTCATCTTGGGAACAGATGTGGCGGTGGCGGAGGCGAAGGAATTGAGAGTAGGGGATTTGCGTTCTTGCGGGAAGGTGGGTGAGAGAAGGTGTAGTCTAGGTAGCTGTGGGAGTCGGTGGGCTTGAAATAGATATCAGTTTGGAGGAGGTCACCAGAGATGGAGATAGAAGAGTCCAGGAAGGAGAGAGAGGTATTATAAATGGTCCAGCTGAACATGAGGTTGGGGTGGAAGGAGTTAGTAAAGTGGATGAAGTTTTATTTTTAAGGCTTGACTGGGTTTGATTGACAAATCTAAGTGGTCACATGCTATTTTTACTTCTCATTTCGTTGTAAGTCTAAAAGCTACAGATAAGGAGACAAAATCTGACCTTGCTGTTCCTGTTGTGGTGACACCAAAACCTGTACAATTTTATTGCAAGATTTCCTTACTGTTCCACCAATTGAACCCAGGTGCTCTTTGCCTTCCCGATTGCATATTGTGCCTGCGTTCAAACTTTGTTCCTTTATATGAGAATGCATAAAAGTCTGAATATAAATGTTAAAAGTTTCCTACTATCGAAACAGTCCCTTGATTTTGTTTATCCTAAAGTGAATGACCTCACTTCATAATTCTACTCACTCACTTAACCATTCAATCCCCTTGAAGGCTTTTTGGAGCCTGCCTTATAGCTTATTGTCTGTCTTAGCTCTGTAATGCCAACAAATCTGGATTTACTACTCTCGGCCACTATATGAAAGTCATTAATAAATATTGTAGATAACTGATGTTCCAGCAGTAATCCATGTGGCACACACTATTTATACTCTACCAACTTGAAAGTGCTTAATTTTTTTAATATCTGTCCATTCTAATGTAGCAACTGCATGAGCCTGTATATTGTTTAATAGTATTTCATGTAACAGTTTGTCACATACTTTACATAAAACCAAATACACTACTACTACTGAGACAACAAGGTGCAGGGCTGGATGAACACAGCAGGCCAAGCAGCATCATAGGAGCAGAGAGGCTGACGTTTCGGGCCTACTACTACTACTGATTCCTGCGTATCAACCGTGCCAGTTGTCTCAAAAAAAACTCAGTAGATTTTGTCAAACATGATTTTCTTTTTAAGGCAACCCTGTTGACTTTTCCTAATTATATAATGATTTTCTAATGCCCTCCTATAACCGCCTAAATAATGAAGTTGAGCTAACTGGTCTGTAGTTCCTTGCTTTTTCTCTTCCTTCCTTTCTTGAATAGTGTTGAAAATATTTACTACTTCGCAATCCACTGGGCTCAGACAATTTAAAAATGGAGGTAAAAAAGATTACAAACAATACATTTACTGTTTCTGCAGCCACCTCTTTTAGGACTCGAAGATATAGTTGAACGGATTTTTCAACATTTTGTTCTTTTGGTTTGTCTGCTGCTTTTTCTTTATGGATATTTAACTTAAGTTGCTCAATCTCAGTACTCCTTGGTTCCCCGCTACTTTTTGGTATACTGTTTGTCTTTCACTGTGAGGAAAGATGCAAAGAAGGGATTCTGTAGTGCCTGTAGTTCATGTTTTACTTTAACTGTTAAAATTAAGCTCATTCAGAAAGGTTTGCTTTCAACTCAGCCAGTTTACTGTACCTGGAAAAATTTTTTTTGTTTAATGCTTACGTGCATTTCTTGTCATAAATGTAGCTTTGTACACTTACAATCCAAATGTGAAGAGTGTGCTGTTAATCATGTCCACTGCTATTCCAAAATGTATAAAATCCCAACTAGACCACTAAGATGACCATTTTCGTTTGTAGGACGTGGGCATTGCTGGGTGAGTAAGCATTTATTGCCTGTCCCTATTGCCTTTAAGAAGGTGGTGGTGAGTTGTCTTCTTGAATTGGTGCAGTCCATGTGCTATAGGTAGACCCACAATATATTTAGAGGGGGAATTGCAGGATTTGGACCCAATGACACCAAAGGAAAGGCAGTATATTTTAGTTAGGATGGTGAGTGGCTTGAAGAGGTATTTGCAGGTGACAGTGTTTGCATATATCTTCTGTCCTTATCCTTCGAAAGGTACTGGTTGTGGGTTTGCCTGACTGACTGACTGCTATTTAGGACAAAAGCAATTCATGCCAGGTTTTATCATGAACTAAAATAACGTTTTATTGTAACACAATTTTAACAAAAAGCAGAACAAGAGGAGTGATTTCTAATGTGCCATGATGCAGCTTAAACTAAGCTCCCTTTAAGATTCCCAAAGGGTCTTAACATTTAATCGTGATTAATGCAGACAAAATAAAAAGGGGCTGTGGAGGAAAACAAATACATCAGGGTAAACAAAATTCCAACTATCATCAGTCCAGATTTCAAGAGTCGGTTTACTCATCTACTACAGTCTTTTTTCAAATTTTTCATCTTTTTAAAAATTTTTCAGTGATGACATACTATTGTGCTTAGGGTGATGGTTGGTTGGGTGAAATTAGGTCTTTTGTCAATATTCTTTCTTTCAAATTTTCTTGTTTTTTTAGTTTTTGTTTTGTCTTTCTCAACATGAGAAGAGGGAGATGGACGCTTTTATTTTGCAGGCTCTGGATGTGTTTTTTGTTTGCTGCCTTGTTTGTTTGCTGCCAGTTGCAGCTTTTAGCACGCTGTAGTCAGGCAGAACTTCCTTAACTCAAAAGATTCTTTGTGCTACTCTGTCTTGAACTCTTCCCTCGTCACTGCTTCAAAAAGCAACATTATGTTGTGCAGCTCACAAATATGCTGCATTTATTTTTAAAGTTGCTAATCTCTCCTTGTAGACTTCAATAGCAGTCCAACTTCAAATTCAAATAATCGTCCCAAAAAGAGAAATTTTTAACATTATAGTAAATTTGTGGTTATGTTATACACTCTGATAATCTTCCAGTTATTGGGCACATCAGAAGCGTATGGTGAATGGACTGGATGCAACCAAGTCTGGTTCACTCTGGTGTTAAAGATATTTTCTAATCAAGCTGTGCAAAGATCAGTCATACACTTCTGAAGCAGCTGGGTCTTGGACCTCCTGGTCTAGAAGTAAGGACACTACAACTGCACCACAAGAGCCCATGTTCTGGTGTTAAATGTTATCATCTCATAATGCCTGGTAGGGATGTTTGGAATTGAAGTAGGGTGCTGGTGAGGATTATAATATAATTAAAGGATAGCTGAGTGAGAATTGCATGTAAATAAAATAGGGAACAAGTATCGGTGGTGTCTGTGTTATGGTGATGTGTGAGCTGGAATTAAACTTTGACTAGAAATAGTGTATGCCTAGATTTCAGTGTTTAACCTCTGCGTTTAATAGTGGTAACAGAAGATGGTTAACTGTCGGTGGGTTCATGATTGAAAGCTAAGTATTATTCTAACCCAAGAGTGATTGAGGGGGATAAAAAACCTCAGACTAGTGGAAGAACGAAATAGCAA